GAACAGGGCAACTGTCGGCCTCTCAGCCAACGACGCGGCGTCACTCGGACAGCCAAGAAGTCAAGCTCCTGGGGCGCGGAAGCTTACGTGTACAACTGTAATATGTTTAAATTTAATTTTTATTTTTAACTTCAAAATAAATTTACTAATCACAATTTTTTAACACACACACAAAAAACAGACGCCTCTTGCTAAGCTGATAATTAGTTATTTTTCACTGAGAAACATTTTAGGAGTGCAATGAACTTGGCGCAAAGTTTCTTTGCAACTTAATATTATTATCCTCAAAAGCTTCTGCGTCTCATGATTCTAACTTATATGAATTATACATTCTGAAGAAGAGTTCCAAATTCAAAGCATGTAGTAAATGAAATGAAAACTTATTTACTTTAATTTTTCGTGGTCGTTTATCGTTGGGTATAGTGTAGTTCTGTCTCAGGGTCTGTGCGCCTGTCATATTTTTCCTTGAAGATTATATACGGTGTTGCACAAGTAGTTGGCAGGTGCAAGGATGTTCTATAACTAGAGGTATGCAACGAAACATTTCGAAAGACATGCTCTCTCTTCTCATGAGGATCCAGTTTACTCAATCGTGACGTCTTGCATTACATTCCCACTTAGATATTTTTTAAAGAATGAGAATAGAATTGTTCTTGGCTAGTGCAAAACGCACATTAGGAGAAAAAATGTAGGTGTACTCACTAGGTTGCAACGTACCTTAATGGAACTTGTTGGGTAGGTTACAGGTTGTTGAAAAATATAGCGTATTTAAGTTTTACGATCGGACTCGCAAATAAGGGATAAGGCTTTATTACTCGCCAAACTTTACGAAAAAATCTTACCAATGTGGATATTTTCTACTCTGGCTCGTGCTTTTGTCAGGCAATATTCCGAAAGGGTAGAATTTCTCGAAAATAAGTTCGAGAGAAATTGTAAAAGTTTGTGAAACTGTAGGGTGGAAAGTTATTTCGTTGAGATAAGCGCCTTGCCAGACGGTCATGTTTTATCACATCACGCTATTCAAGCAGTGAGCAGTGGTGGGTTCTTTCACGCTATATATGTGATCTAGTATATTGATACGAGTTATATGATGGCCAGCAAACCAATCTGCGAGCAGTGATATCTTCTCTGCAACATCCTGTGGCTGCCTAAATCTTAGTCTGATGTCTACACATCACACAACCAACACGCCTAACCTTTACACTATGTAATCTGAACTCCTTAGAAATATCTCTGCGGAGGCAATTTCCTCCCAATTTCCAAAGCAACCAGACTTTTTCGTGCAGGGAAGGCGGGAAGTGACCTAGTACAGGGTCAAACCGACTTCATGTTTTTATTTCATTTATCCTAAATTAAAATTTATTTTTATTTGTTTACTTATAGTTAATATTTATAACGTTATAACAATTAAGATATTGAATAACTTTCGTTAAAATAGAAAAATTGTGTAGAGGCTGCATATTTAATTGACTGACATTTTGCATTGACTCAGTGCCGTCTTTTATACGCCAGTATGTTAATTGAAATCTTTTCTAAATATTATGTCGGGTAATATTTTGTGAGAAAGTTATTTATAGGCTGGCGAGCTCATGAATTCAATGGTGAAGAAACGCAATGGTGAACACTTAAACGCCATTTTCGCAAAAACGCCTTCAAATTTTTTCTTCGAATTTTTTCAATAGATTGTGCTAATTACACGGTTTAAAATGACATAGAATTAATTTTGTTAATTTTTTTTGTTTAAAAAAATTCGCAAATGTACTTTTTTTTAAATATCTTCGCCTTTAATGTACACATTTTCAGAAATTTGTAAAAACTATTGCATTAGTGACTGAAAGTGCTTGAAAGGTCTTTATATGAAGTTTTCCGGAAACTCAATAGTTTTCTGTGAAAATACGTTCAAATTTCGAATTCACAGTGACGCTTAAACGCTATTTTCTTAAAAACTGCTCCAGAGTTTTCAAAGAAAATTGCTGTTAAGGGCGAGGTTTTACTGTTCTTTAACATTCTTAAAATAATAATTCCGTTGTACTATTAGAAAACTGAAAAATTAAGAAAATGTATTTTGGGAGGCGATAGATGGTAGCTGGCAAGAGTATGAGGCCAGTCCGAATAGGTAGCCAAGACCAAAGGAAATTGAAAACTAATACGGGAAAGTCTGTGCCATTTTGTACCGCCACTAGTTACTTTCTCTCATACTACTTACGTAGTATAAAATATTGTGATGCTGTGGCAATCGTCAGCGGTTTTTCGTCAGAAAAACTTGTATTGTATGCAATTAATCTCGAAAAAATGGAAAAATCTTATTCCTATTTGTAGTAAATTACTACATTACACTTTACTCAGATTCCACGTTTTGTGTGTCCTTGATTCAGAAAGTCTGGCTGAGGGCTAAATGACTGTCCGTCTGTAACGTTTTTGAAAATTGCAAAAGTTCAAATTTCTTTGGTGTGTTTTACAACTACAGCATTGAAAATGGTGATTTTCTACTGAATAAAATGTGTTTTTCAAAAAACAAATCTCTAAATAATGTTATGTACAATTTTAGAAAATATGAGTAGTTTACGCGTAATTTTGCTACACTACAATACAATGCTAACTACAATTATGCTTTTGTACAATAATGCACGTATGTGTAAATTAAAAAAAAAAATAGCTAATTAAGATCACATTAAGAACAAGGGCCTCGTGTCTTTTTCCAAGAAATAATTAATGAAGTAATACGGTAATGATGAAAGGTGAAAGGAGAACTATGCCTGAGGCGGTACTCATACCCGCGATCCTTCGGCCCAAGATAGCCATTGTACTACTGCCTTAGCGATCTCGGCCTCTCGGATCAGCGTATGTTGTTTGCTGAATGTCAAGTAAAATTATTTCTAGACTACTTCCTACAGTAATTATGGGACGCGGTTTACAATGCTGTTGATACAAATGACAAATATAATATTTTTTCGACTCTTTTAGTTCAATGAAGTACGTTCTTTCCTCTTAAAAAAGACGCCGAAGAGAATAGGAAGCTAAGTAGTCTGTGCCATTCTATAACACCACTAGATAGACTGAAGTTGTTGAATTATCGTCGTAATAATAATAATATAAATAATAATATAATTAATAATAATATAAATAATAATTTATTTAATAATAATAATAATAATAATAATAACAACAACTTATTTTCCAAAAGAATTACATTGGCAGTGTACAAAACCCATCACTATATAAACAATAGGAAAGAATACTAATTTCTTTCGACTACATTTCCTACATTATATCCTGTTTAACCTTTTAGTAAAAATACTGGCCTTATCAGATTAATATTTAAATTTATTTTATCTTATTCGGTACACTTTAAACCTCTCTAAGTACTTTTTGTGATTGTCAGAGAGGAGTGTGTTACTTTGTACGTTTGTTTTGTTTTCTTTTTTTCTTTTTCGGATTACCGTTGTTGATTACAGTTCACCCATCATCTGTACTGTTTGCCGGCTATTGTGTCATGATGCGTGAATTGTTTCTAATGAAATTTAGATATTTTCCAAGGAAACTCAACAGGAAAAAAGAAATCAAAATCATCAAATTATCTAAAACAACAAATAATTTATAAATAATTAAAAAGAGATGTCAGTTGGCAACAGGCAAAAGTGAGAATTAAGTTATACTTAACATTTTGAAAAATGGTTCAAGGCAATATTTACGATGTTTGGGGATTTTATTTTCAATTAATGTTATCATAAGTTTGTTGATTGAAAATGTACATTTGATGAGACCTTTGTGTCAAGTTGGCGGTTCTGAAAAAAAGCCCCTCTTTCTGACCCTTTTCTACACTTTGATAACCTTAATACACTTTGCGTGCAATTTGCGAGCGTCGTTGTGAATGCGAGTGTGGGTGTATCTCGAGGGATTCTTACTGTACAAGCGTTGTTAAATTATAGATCTTTCATTATTTGCAATATATACCAGGGAAGTTAAATTTTCAATCAAACCCAGAACCAAGAGGAGATGCGCGGTTCTTGATACAGACACTACGCATAAAATTATGTAAATAATGTTTGAATACACCTTTTATTAAAATTAGTTTTAATTAATTTGCTTGAACTTCTTTCATTTTATTATAAATCAGTGTTCTGAATTTTGAAAATTACTTTTCCGGAGCTCGATGGAGCAGCAACCCCATTCTGTTGGGGCACCATTCGCCTGTGGGCATCTTTCTTCCTCAAGTATTTCGTACTCTATTTACTGTGTCATAAGCCTTTTCAAAGTCAATGAACAATAGGTAAGTTGGAAAATTCACTTTATTTCATCTGTCCACGGTTGTTTGTTTTGTGACTATGTCATCTTGTGTGCTCCCTCCGTTTCTGAATCCATTTAGTTCATCTCCCAGAAATTAAGGAATGTCTCACTGCATTCATTCAGAATGTTTCACAGTGGTAGCTGGTAGGTGCCGATGGTAGAAGATGTAATGTAACTTCACTATGCGCACGTTTTTGTTGAACTCCCCTTTTGGTTGTAATGGTAGGAGTAGAGGCAAGGACGAGTTACGAGTTACTATTTTGTTAGCAATGCAGAAAAATCATACCTGCAATTCGTTTACCGATGCAAATAAGTTTTCAATTACTCGAGAACAAAAATGTCTAGTTTTTTGTAAATATTACTAATCTCGCCCTTTTTTAAAATTTATTTTTATATATTTATAGTTAAAATATTGGGAAGGGATTCTGGAACTCAAGAAAACGTACACAGATCATCTTCTTCCTCATACGTCACATACTGTTTTTACTGTTTATTTTTTAACTTAATAAATCTAAATCTAAGATCCCTTTACAGTTGTTGCAGTCTTTTATTGACTCTTTCTTAGGGGCATTTATTATCATGCGAGTCTGTGTTGTTGAATAATGTTGAAAATCCCGGTTTATGTAAACGTGCACACGGTGTAAAGATTTTCCTTACACCATGGGTATTCGTGTATTCTCAGCTTTGCGGCAACTGTTGCTATTTTGTTTTGCGATAGTGTTGGCAGTAATGAAGAGAGGCGGGAATAGTCAGAAAAGCAAATCCAAGCAAATCGCTTTTAAATTCTATGCGACCTACATTGTATTGCATGTGACGCATATTTTACGTACTTATGAGATGCTTTAAAGTATACTCTCAAATTACGTGTAATATTGGGAAATCCAAGTGGAGTGGACTTAATTGATAATGTATCGTGTCTTGAATGGAGTGGGTACTTCCCGAGAAATGTCAAGTGACGCGGAATTTCAGTTTTTGGAAAAATGGGTTTTCAGTTCCTGTTTAGAAAGTCGTTTGAAAGAATTTGCTAATTCCACCATGTACAAATTCGCTATTAAAACTATCAATTCAAGCAACGATAATTCTAAACCGATACCTGTTCGTACACTGATAAATATAGTTCATCTAATATGCATATTAGTTCCATTCCTCACTAAATTTTTCTTTACAGGAACAGGACGTGGAAACTCAAACAAACGGTGACGAGGTTACGGATAATAGAGATGAGCACATGGATATTGAGAATGTGGAGGAAATTGTATCCCAGTCATTTCTGCTAAGTAATGAAAACTTTCAGTTCTGGTATTTTTTGGTTAACTATGTTTACATATTTATGGTATTTACTGATTATTTTAGGTACACAAAATTGTACAAAATTGGTGGCCAATTTACGAGAAGGTCCAATATCAGAAGATGAACTTAGTAAATTGAGTATTGAGGATATTGCTATGTTTACCAATGAGGGCTCCAGTGATATTATCTTCAATTTTTGTGAATCTGTGTGTTCAGCTCCACAGTACCAACAAAGATTTGTACCAATTTTATGTGAAAAGTTACTTCTTCCCAAGGTTAGTATTTCTGAGTACTAACCATATTGTTTCAGTATTTCTTGTTATGAAATGATTGTAACTAGGAATGTGTTTTTCAGATAAAAGACCCAACCTTTGCAACTTGCTCTCGAATACTCATGCCTACCATAAAGAGAACTTTTGAAACATTTCCTGCTGAAGCATGTTCTTATTTACTTCTCCCTCTAATACAAGAATCAGACTATCAACGCAAGTTGGATCAATTTTTGACAGACCTTGATAATGGAAGCAAGCAAACAATTTTAAAGTAAGTATGCGAATGACTATTGTGGTGGGCTATTATACTTTTAAAATTTTGTTTTTTTTCTCCCCTGTTATATTAGAAAACTTGAATTGAGTGAAGAGTGTAATATACTTTTTTTCTCTTCATTTGACTTATTTGTTTTATTATCTATTCATGTTAATTTTTGTAAACAAAATATCATAGGCAAAAGTTAATAATATTGCATGAAAATTGCTATTCTGGTAAGATTTAAGAACTATGTTGCATTGTAAATGCTGTATTTTTAATGTATCCAAATTTTTCTTTCCAATATATGGAGTAATACATGTAATATAGAGGTTATGTAATTGTGGAAAATTGAATTTAAGATTTTAGCAGAAATATGTTTTTTAGGATCCTCTGATACCACCCACTTCTTTTGTTTTATTGTTCACATTTTATTGTTAACACACACATTGTTCCATAAATGGCCCAATATTATTCAATTGAAATTTGCATTTAGGGCCAGATTTTACTCTTTAATGATATTCTTAAAGTCATATTTCATTTCTGCTATTTGGTGATTGAAAAATGTAGAAAATGCAAAGAAATATAATTTAGGCTTTAGTAGGTAGCAACAGGGAAGAAGGTTGGATAATACTGTATAGCTAGCTCAGACGTAAGATTTTAGGAGACTAAGTAGTACATGAAAGTTTGTGTCTTTCTGTAGTACCACTAGTTCAATTCTGCAAGTAGGCAGTTAAGGGACGTATTTTGACATAAAGTAGAACTGAGCCACAAGTTCATTCTAATTGAGTTATTCTTCAATTCGTGAATTCTTACTATATAATAATATCCACAATTATATAATTATTTTATGATAGCAAATTATGAAATTTTGTCTTAGTTTTTCTGCAAAGAAGAGTTACCACCCTTGACTCCCTTTTTATTGTAATCAAAGTGTACGACAAAGTACTTTTAGTTTTGTACTTGTAAAAATGCATGTAAAATATGAACAGATCTGTTTTGAATATACTTCTCTTGATATGTGATGATTCACATCAGCACACAAAAATATGGCTGATAGAGATGAGTCCTTTTTGAAATAACTTATTATGTTATAGATTAAGTCGAAAAGTTTCATTGGATTTATACAAGAAGTTCTAGAGAAGTGAGAAATAATCAGTTGATCAAACAATGTTTTTTTAAAGTAAAATTTAATGTGAAAAATTCTAATTATTTTCATTTTAGAGAACTCTTACTAACAACTGTGAAGGAATTCAATTTAGTGTTAATAAAGGCACTTTATTTTAACAGATCGCTTCTGGAAGGTGACATTAAAATTTTGGAAGACCGTCATCTCTCAGTGCTACAGAATTTACTTGTTACAACTGTAGATAAAAATATGAATGAAAAACTTGTGGACCTACTACTAGCATCAGGAAACAATCTTTGTAAATCTAGTAACTTTGGAAAACTTCTAGTATGTGTTACTGAACAGATTGGGCCAACACTTGATTCTGATGTCAAGAATAAGTTATTCAGTGCCATTCAAACTCACAAATCAATTCAAAAGGCAAGAGTAATGAAAGCCTTCCAGTCATTGTCTTTGTGATGATAATTGGCAAATGTGGAAAGAGTTATGATTTTCTTCTGTTTTTGAAAAGTTGTCGGTTTATGAGATGTTACAACCAAGGAATGCAATGTATAATAGTATATAGTTTGGCTTTAATGTTAAAGTATATATGTTGTACTCTTTTGAAATATCTAATGTCAGAGATGAAATTTTAATTTCCAATGTTTCTAAAAACATAAAATTTTGATAAAATCATAAGAAAATGAATGTTAATAACATAACATTTCCTTGAAGTACTAATATAAATGCAGGTTTTTTAAACAACCAAATCACTCAGTCTTTCATTATTATGCGTAGGTTGAAACAAGAATGAATTGAAAAAAGTAATTTCCTGCAGCAATGTAATAATTACCTGAAAATGACACCCTAATGTCATTTAAACCTTCTGACTTTAATTGAACACACAACTCCAAATCATCTATATTGAAAAAAAGAAAATCCTATATTCCATTAAAGATAGCTTGAAAGAAATTGACTAAATTCAGGATTTACCAATAATTTTGTTGCATTGACATCTTTTGAAAGAAGTGTTTGCTTTATCAATCCACTTGAATTTTACTTCAATAATTTTTAATAATTTAATAATTTTACTTCTTAACCCAAAGGATTGAACATTCATAAGATTGAGATTGAAATTCCCATTAAGAATATTTCGTAAATTTCTTGTATTTCAAAAATCATAGGAAATACTGTGTAACATAGTTTATATATTTCCTTGTCAATGGTTACAAACTGCAGTCTCTTTTTTTGGATGTTTTTTAAAGGGAGGTCAATACTTCTGAGTGTTCCAAACATACCAACAATAATCCTGAAAGAAGAAAGGAAAATTTGTAATTTATTATTAGATGCTATGTAGTCATATATCAGAAAACAATTCTCAGTTTTTACTTTCTCATATATGTATACTCAGAGTAATATAAGTAGTATAGAGAAAATTATGTAATGCAGCAGAAAAGATTTGAGGTTTTATTGGAAAAGTTTGTACTGAGGTCCCCTTGTTTGTTCTTAACACCCAATTTTTTTTTCTTCAATTTTCAGTCTGAGAACAATACTAGCACTTAAACTTTTCGTAATTTTTTTTTTTTTTGCAAAATTAATATTTGCCAAACGATCTGGCGCAACATGAGGCCCTGCAAATTTCAAACTAGTTCTCTGAATTTTGGGTTACTTCACATGAAGACATTTTTAATTTATTTTTTAACTGTGCCAAATATTTTCTGTAGATTTCATGTTAGAATAGTGACCTAAACTTATAAAGTTGACATATGTAAGTTTTTTACTGTTAACTCTGAATTTTTGAAAAAATGCAAAGTTTCAAATTTTGGAACTTTTTCAAATGACTTTACTAAAGATGTTGCCTTGAAATAAAATGTGTTGTCCACAATTAGTTCTTTAATTAATGTAGGGTTCATTAAAAAAATAGTTTTCATTCAATTTTAAATGAAATATGAGCAATATTAAAAAATATATTTTCTAAATAACTGCACCAAACTTTTCTTTAAACTTTTAATAGAATACCGAATGTACTCAGTAACCCATCATAAACACCATTTTGATTTATTTTTTGATTTTTCAGTAACTACACAAATGTAATTGTTTTGAAATATGTATCGTAAAAATTTATTTTAAATGGAAAATAAAAGAATACAGGAAGCATGTGCAAACCACGTACAAAGAATGGAAAATTCCAGAACTCCAAAAGACGTGACACAATACACAAAGGAAATCGGTCTGTTGGCCGACCGAAAACCAGGTGGAAAGACCGGAGTGCGCAACGGAGCTACGATCCAATGCTTCAAGAAGAAGAGGACTTAGGTCTAAAATTAGTTTTAGAGGTGGCAGTGCGTAACGTTACTTATGAGAGGAAGTACGTGCAATTGTAGAACCTCCAGTTACTTTCTCGCCTGCTTCTTACTACTTAATAGTAAAATTTATAATGCTTGATCCTATACGTAGTAAACTAGATCTATTGTTGTATTTAGAATCTACGTTTTACGAAGTCTCTTACGGTTTACGAGAGTCCATTACGAAAACTTCGGTTTCAGCAAAAAGTGTGCCCGTGTGTGAACGCACAACGCTTTCGGTTAAAGTGTTGGTAGGATTTTCACCAAAATCGATATTCCGTGATCGATGACTGACAACCGCTACCCCTTGAATTTGAAGAGGATATTTTGATTTTGAAGAGTACATTACACGAAGTCTAAACGATAAAATTTTCTCAAAATTGATTATTTTTTCAAAATAGCGAAAAGTACGCTTATAAAAATGGTGTATGCTCGTTGAACTCTGAATTTTCGAAGATTCTAAAAATAGCATTTTGTGCGCGCACTGCGCGGCCGCGTCGTGCGAATGCATGCAGGCGCGGTACTCACCAGTCACACGGCACCACGCATGATGATGAGCCAACAGCGTGGACTCTACTGTTGGCTAGATGCGCGCAAAGCACACACACAAATCGGCCTCCGGCAGCTTGACGATGTAGCCAGAGGGCTACTAAAATAAGGCCTGGAGTCCAATCTCGTAAGAGGATCGACCGAATGTTAAATGAAGAAGCGATTTTGGCTTACATATTAATTTAATAAATGAAGATAAAAAAGCGAGTGATAATGTCTCTTGGAAATAATGAAATAAAACTTACGGACTAGGAAAGAAAATGGAACGCAAAACAATTATAAAACTACTATACTATATACAGAATGCATGTCGGGCCCGAGCGGTGAATTAATAAAGGAAAAACTAAATCTAAAACTTAATTAGTAATTTACAAATAACCGTCTTTAAAATTGTTTGACAATATGAATAAGACCAAAAGTTCATTTCCTAATTCTGTTTCGCCTTAGAGAAGTTCCATCTAGGTCTTGGAGAAGGATCTAACTTTTATAATTTGGGTTACTAATTCAACCATGATTGGGCGATGTTGGCTCTTTAGGAAATCGGAAAGAATTCTCGAAACAGGAAAAGGTTGTCTTTTTTTCATTAGTTGAAACAATTGTTAGGTCTGGGTTATAATCTCTTTTCGAGACTGCCGATCTGAAGGACGCCGTGTCTTTTGCATCGTTTTTTTCAGACCACTACATGATGCCTCGATAACATTAAAACTGTTTCCATTTAACATTGTGACTATTAAAACCACCTGCATATATGGATGGGGAAAAACTTTCAGAATGTCTTGCGACGAAGACGTTAGGGGTAGTTTATAAATATTTACGATCGAAATGTGATCGTGTGACCATTATCCAGTGTGATAGATATCAGTTGAATATTTTCAATATCATTTCTAGCATATGTGATTAATCCGTACATGTAATGGTACGTTATGCCAATAATGTCTTATCCAGGGATTTTAGCTCTGATGCGAGCTTGTTCATTTTCAAGATGATATTCTTGAATAAGGAGTACATCTACTTGATTTTTCAGTAAAAGTTTTGATGTCATTGATCTTTCGATTTACTCATTCCTTCCATATTGAACTGACAAATACGGAGAAAATCTCGGATATTTTTAGCCAGATTGTCCTTAGCGGACCTCTTTCTTTGCTCGCCATGCGCAGATATAGCCAAGAGCCCCAGAGGATTGTCTGACATCAGCTGGGGTCGTAACTGGTGACTGCCCTGCCTTAAATAATACCGATGTTCCTTGGCTTCCTCATTCTTCGTCAGCCAAATTCGCCACTATTGTAAAAAACAGCATCACCTAAAAAATGGGCATTCTGTATTTTACTAATCCAATCTGCTCTCAAAAATCCTATTCAGCATTTTCTCTTGCGTCCGGAAACCCTTCCATGTTTCTTCAGTTTGTATAAGGAGTGTCAAGGATTGCATCAGCCCTTTCTTCAGGCATAAAGGGACAGCATTAATCACACGCCATCAGTTTTCACCCAGCCCTTGCTGTTAGCACAGTGGTGACAGCACGTGCAGTTAACGCCCAGGAAGAAGAGTATAGCTATTGCTTTGTTCAAGGAAGATTATTCGACCCGTAAAGTAGCTTCTCGTATTCATTGTGCTCAGACAACAATTCGCGTTTGTGACAGGAAGAGTGGAAGTGGCCGAAAGCGTCTTTCAACCTCAAAACGGAAAATTGAAACGATTGTGTTTGAAAAATCGCCGATTATCATCCATAGATGTAAAAATGGAATGGGGGAAACATTCTGGGGTGAAATATAGTAGTGCAACTGTGTGGAAAACGTCTTTTTAGTGACGGTCTTGTGGTGCGAGGTCCTAGGAAGAAGCCACTTCTCACTAATAAAATGAAGAAAAATCGTCAATGGACAAGAAACCACTTAAATTGGGCTGAAGGTGAATGGAAGCGAGTTATCTGGTCAGATGAGTCTAAATCCAACCACCATACCTCTGATGGCAGCCAGTTTGTGAGACGAAGAAAAGGCGAAGATATCCATCCATACTGTGTAGTCACGAAGGTAAAGCATAGCCCTCTCCAAATGCTTTGGGGCTGCATATCCTATCGTGGAGTTGGTCTTATTAACTTCAGGAGCGGATTAGTGAATGCACAAGTCTATAAGAACATTTTGCAGTCTACGTTATTTGCCGACAATAGCTCAGCACTTGGTTAAACCCACTCTTGCATTTTCAAGATGATTCAGCATCATGTCACAGAGCAAAAACTAAGTACGAGCAACTGTTCTGATCACATAGGCACAATAAATAAAAATGTATATTTTTACTCCGTTTATCGGAATTTTCTTAATTGTGGGTTCAAAATTGGCTTTGAAAACAGTGTATTACAGTCCTTTCTTGGCGAGGAAACAGCTCGGACTTGAACACTATCGAGAACTGTTGGAAAGAAATTGCAAGTTTAATTGCTGATATGAAGCCCAAAACTTTACAAGAGCTTCAAGATTCAATTTGCTATAAATGGAATCAGTTGTGACGATGTTGCATATAAGATCTTATTTTGTCTACGCCTGGACATCGCGCAGTAATAACTGCGAAAGGTGCGTGGACTAAGTATTAATTTGTCTGTAATTAGCGTATTGAATCTATTTAGTCCCAAGTTATACCTCAAACCGTAGAACACCCTGAATAATAAATTGTAAAATATTATTCTGATATTCTCTAAATTGCACAATTTTACAGATTTTTCAAATTTTAAACATTAGTAGGAATTGGTAATCATATATATTTTATGTGGATTATATGTTTCTGATACCATTACTTTCATAACTGAATTTTTGCAAATCAAGCAAAAGGTATTTTCAGGACTATATTGCAGATTACAACTGTTAGAAGGGTGTTGCTGTTTTTAAGCACTACTGTAGGTATCTTACTGGACAACAGTGACATAGCGTCAGGAGACACTAAGATGCTGAGCATCCCCACGTAAATATTAATTAAGAACACTAAGTATTCTATTGATAAACTCGCAAGTGAGTGAAACAAGTTTTGTTTTAATTTTAAAATGGTTTCTTATTATTGAATTCGGCGCGTTGTTTCAAGCTTCTGAGTGCTTGGAAGCTAAAATGCTTCTAGCGTCTGCCGCGAGAGTGCGACGCGCAGTGACGCATGCGCATGCTTCATCTTGGGGTTCGATTATGACCTTCGGCATATATTTTTTTCAAGCTGCTTACTTAAGAGACATTATTTCTTGCCATTGCTTTCTGCAGAAATTATAAGAAGAGTACTCGGAAATGACATTGGAACTAAACAAAAGGACATTTAACCGTCATTGGAGTCCATGCACCAGAGGAAGGTCGAAAAGATGATACAATACAATTTTATGATGAACTACAAAAAGAGTGAAATGAATATAATAAGAGTGATAACACCCTGATGTGTGGAGATCTGAATGCAAGTGTTGGGAATACACCAATACAAGGAACAGTGGGTACATTTGGAGAATCAACTATGAATGAAAATGGAGCAGAACTGAGACAATTTGCTTCATTTAATAATCTCAAAATTACAAACACGTTTTTTAGAAAAAGTTCACCTGGAGCGCAAGAGGTTATAAATCTATTATAGATTACATAATAGCAAATGACAGGATAAAATACCTGGTACCAGACGTTAGAGTATATAGAGGCAGAGACGTTTACTCCGATCACTATTTAGTAGTGTCGAATAAAGCTCTACTGGCCAAATGAAAAAGACAAAAAACACTAATTCCAAAATAAATAACATCAGCAATAAGCAAGAAGTTTATAAAGCATATGTATTGCAAGAAAACAGCGTGAGAAATATCTATCAGAAAATATTAACTGAAT